CCAGAGTGTCCTCGTTGATGGCAGACTCTGGACCCTGCTGCCATCCCCTGCTGTAATTGTCAACTTCGCACAGTGAATCATACTATCCAATATCATAAACTTCGCTCATTGTGACTAAATATCCTTAGAAACAGGGTTTCCCCACACACACACACACACACACACACACACACACACACACACATGCACACACATGCACACACATGCACACACATGCACACACATGCACACACATGCACACACATGCACACACACACACATGCACACTCCAAAGCTGAAACAGCCTTGAAGACACTGGATAATAGTGATGCATCCCACAGTGGATTTGCGTTTATGCCTTCCCACCTTCCCCCTTCATGAACTTGCTTAGTTGATATTTTCGTAGAACTAACTGTGCACTTTGCTAGTTGCGAGTTTTAATTCTCACGTGTAACTGGCTGAGCCACTGCGATGTTCATGCCAGGCAGAAATGAGTCCTCGACGATTCCTTGAACCAAAGCACCAAACCCGAAATACTAAAAAGTCCTCAGGTTGGACACCGAAAGAAGGGAGCTGGGTCTCCGGCTCATCGCCGGCGTAGCCCCTCGAGGCCTGGGGGCTTGGGCTCGGAGATGAAAAGGAAGGACGAAGACACGGGTACACGACAAGGGACGTCTCTTTCTATAATCTTTTTATGTGGGTATGAGTGTCTCTGCCAGGCCATGAGGCCAGCATCTCCCAGCTTCTCTGCCACCTCCAAAGTCACGTTGAGGTCCTTTGGCTGGCTTGTGAGCAGAATCCGCAATTCAAGTGCAATGCACCCTTGAAGTTGAAGCTAAAGCCTAGGCGGGTTCTTCTGAGGTCCTCCGCCGAACCAGTGCTCGTTCCCTGGCAAAGGTGGCCGTTCCAGGCTTCGGATGGGTTTCCCATGGTTTCCGGGAGGGCCAGGCGTGGACCAACGGTTTCCCTCCTTGTTTCGTTCTCGGAAGTACTATGTTCTTCTGCTCTGCAAGTGCACCTCTGCTGGCTACCTGTTACCACGTCCCTGCTCCTTCATGTGGGCTAGCATGAACAAAACCTAAAACCTTGCTTCAGAACAGTTCCCTGTTGAGGCCATCCGAGAGTCAAAGCTGCGCTCCTAGGTCTTCTGGCAGATGCGGACAGAGAAGCTATTCTTGAATCATCTATGAAGATAAATATGGTTCTTATATGATTAATTTATTTCCACCCAGGGTTTGTGCGTATTTCAGCTAACAGCTCAGGAGGGCCTCGGGAACGTCCGGGTCGAGGCCCTGCACGCCTTGGGATCCGTCGTGCCTGCCGGAGACTTGGAGGTCTTGTCTGCCGTCGCACCGCTTCTCCTCGATGCAAACTGTTACACTCAGAAAGCCGCAGCAGCAACGATCCTGCAGCTCGTGGATGCGACAACGAGACAACCAGTGATGGCTTTGCTGATTGAGCAACTGGGATCCATTCTGGACAAAGAGACCTGGCATTGGCGGCCCTCCTTCGACTTGCTGGGCACACTCGCTGCAGAGGCAGAAGATGCAGAAGTGGAGATACTCGTCGGAGCACTCTTGCCATTGTTGAAAGCATGGGATCCTGATGTGACCCTTGGTTCGAAACAGAGCGACTGATTTGTTCAACTTGCTTTCAGGGTCTTCAAAGTTAAACCCTTGACATGACGCAAACATCTAGAAGCATCAGCCAGCCTCCGATTGCACCTGTAGACCGGTCGGCCACTGGCCCCCCCCCGCCCTTCGGGTGACACGCAAGTACAGCTGGGGCCCGGCGCGGGCCCTTGGCCAGTTGCAGCGACTGCAAACTGCATGCAGAGGGCTCCTTTAGAATCTCAGATATTCTCAGTTCCTTCGGATCCCCCTCTGAAAGCTTTCCCAATTCAGGCAGCGGTCGGCCACAGAAACTCTGCTTCCGCTGGTGCTGTCCGCATCCGCCGCTGCCAGTATCAGGGCGCGCATCTGCAGTGCGGGCTTCCTGGTTCCTCCTGACATCTTGCAGGAGATCGAACAAAACGCTTCGGAGTGGATTGGGAGGCGAGCTGCGGCCGGCCTACCTGAACGGGATTGAGCAGCGGTCTAAGGTCGTACAGTCTTGCCGCTCGCACTGAGCGGTTTACTTGATCCTGCTGAAAACCCTTCTCAGTGTGCTGATTGTGGGATGTTGCGCGCATGACGCAGCCCTACCACTTGGCCCAACTTCGGTTTAGTGTTGTGCTAATCACAAAAGTGGTTCAACGCCAGGTGGCGGGCTAAGGGTTTCCATCGAGATGACGGCCCTTTACCTTGCGTCTCCGGAGGCAGAGCATGAAAGCCGCACTGCATGACAGACATGTCGTTCTTGCAAGGTGTTGAATGAGCCAGAGCTGCGCGAGCTGTTGCAGAAGCAGTTGGCACCTCAAAGTGCTCAAAGCTTCAAACAGCACGTGTATATATATATATATATATGTATATATATGTATATATACATACATACACATATCTACACATACACTTACACACATAATGATATACACTTGTTCTCTCTCTGTCTCTATATATACGTGTATATATATATATGTATACATATATGTATATACACACATATAACAAAAAGGTTGAGTTTATCCCTGCTGCAGATGGTCTAGAAGTGGGTTCGGAAAGATTCCAACTGTGAAGCCTGGTGCTTTCGGAGCTTTCGGGGCCAAGGCCCGGTGAACTTCAGGCCTTCCGCCTCACGCTTTCCTTGGGCGAAGGCCTTGGGAGCCGCAGGGATTATATATATATATACACACACACACACTATACTTATGCTGAGTATACTGTACATGTACACATATGTTTATGTTTTTGTATGTAGGTAGGTAGGTAGGTAGGTAGGTAGGTAGGTAGGCAGGCAGGCAGGCAGGCAGGCAGGCAGGCAGGTAGGTAGGTAGGTAGGTATGCACGTATGTAAGTATGTAGGTAAGTATGTATGTATGTTTCGAACGTCATCAGTCCTGCATGCGCGCTCCTCCTCGAGCCTCTTCTCTTTCCATTTTCGTCGTTTCAACTGAATTCATATCCTCGGCTTGTGTCTGACACTAGACTCTCTCCCCCGCAGATGGAATATGTATGTATGTATGTATGTACGTACGTATGTATGTATGTATGTATGTATACATAAGTACATATTTAGGCATATTCCCGTATAGTCTAGTCTAGTCTAGTTTAGTATGGTATAGTATAGCATGGTATGGTAGGGTAGAGTAAAGTAGCGTGGAGTAGATAGAATAGAGTAGAGACAGGTATGTATATACAGATGGATGGATGGATGGATGGATGGATGGATGGATGGATGGATGGATGGACAGATCGATTTAGGGGGATGAATAGATAGATCGATAGATAGATCAATAGATAGATCGGTAGATAGATAGATAGATCGGTAGATAAAAAAGATAGGTAGACAGGTAGATAGGTAGATAATGTATGGGAGGGCTCGAGAGGCTGGTCGAGGCTGGACAGGTTCAAGGCAACCTGGACATTTTTCGGCGTTCTGCAGGTAAAGGCATCGCGCGCATCAAGTCCCTTGATCTCATGTGGACAGGTTGTGCTGCCTTGGAGCAGCTGGTGGCTGTGTCCGATGCGTCAGCGATTCAGCTAAGATTTGATACAGCCTCGAGCCCAGTCTCGTAAAGTCTGCCGAGGAAGTAGCTTCATTCATGTGCTCTTGGCAAAGGTCGAGAAAGAGCTTTCTGTGGACAGGTCTGACGTCACAAGTCCTTACCACGACCATTCGGCCCTGCAGCGGCCAGGTCTGGTGAAGACGAGCCCCAGGTATCTCACACGTGCGCCTGCCCAGGCAATCTCTAATGCCTTCATGAGCTACTTGTAAGCCGCTTTGTGAGGCTGGTCATGGCGGATGATGCAAGCGAACTACAAGAGGCAGGCAACATTTACATGTCGATTCTTGGTTTACACCAACAAACGACTGACTGTAGCTGCAAGCTGAGCAGCCCAAGGCCTTATCTGCACTGCAGGCCTGCGACCGGCCTGTTTTCAGGCTTTGAGTTCTCACCGTTGGAGGGGTCCGGGCTTGTAGTTCAAGCTAAGGCAGCTAACGTTGAGGCTCTTTGGGCTCCAGGAGGTGCAAGGTGTAGGAAGGAAGCCATGAGAGAGGTCTGCCTGCAAGTTCCGGGTGCCGCAGGGCAGCTGCCGGAGCCACAGATTGAACCATGTATATTTACATGCAAACGTACGTCATACATATACATACATATACATATATATATATATATATATATGAATATTACACATTATATTGTATTATACGTTATGTTCTGTTATATTATATCATAGCAGGCTATACTATATTATTTTGCACTAGGTTGTATTATCTATAATATATAGTATGTATATATCATATTATATGTCATCTACATACCAATATAATATATATTCCATATAATGTATAATATCTTTATATATATGCCACATGTTACTTACATAATAGTATCTCAATTTTTCTTTATACTTTTTGTATAACATGATATGATAAAATACATTGCTATACAACAGAATAGAAAAGCATATATTATAATATAATACAACATAGTATCCATCTATCTAGCTGTCTGTCTATCTACCTACCTGTCCGTCTATCTATCTATCTATCTATCTATCTATCTATCTATCTGTCGATCAATCTATCTTTCTACCTCTGTATATCTATCTGTCCATCTATCTACGTATCTATCTATGTATCTACTTATCTATCTATCTATCTATCTTTTTATCTATCTATCTATCT